ATAGGAATGGAAGACCCAGAGTTACCTCTGCTGCAGAGGATAAGTTCATTAGAGTTCCCAGCCTCAGAAATTACAGCTCAAATAAATGCTTCAGAGTTCAAGTAACAGACACATCATAACATCAACTGTTCAGAGGAGACAGTGTGAATCAGGTCTTCATGGTCGAATTGCTGCAAAGAAACCACTACTAAAAGGACACCAATAAGAAGAGACTTGCTTGAGCCAAGAAACACAAGCAATAGACATTAGACCGGTGGAAATGTGTCCTTTGGTCTGCAGTCCAAATTTGAGATTTTTGGTTCCAACTGCTATGTCTTTATGAGACGCGGTGTGGGTGAACGTATGATCTCCGCATGTGTATTTCCCACCATAAAGCATGGAGGAGGTGATGTTATGGTGTGGGGGTGCTTTGCTGATGACACTGTCTGTGATTTATTTAGAATTCAAGGCACGCTTAACCAGCATGGCTACCACAGCATTCTGCAGCGATACGCCATCCAATCTGTTTGGGCTTAGTTGGACTATCATTTGTTTTTCAACAGGACAGTGAACCAACACACCTCCAGGCTGTGTAAGGGCTATTTGACCAAGAAGGAGAGTGATGGAGTGCTGCATCAGATGACCTGTTTTCCACAATCCCCCGACCTCAACCAAATTGAGATGGTTTGGGATGAGTCAGACCGCAGAGTGAAGGGAAAGCAGCCAACAAGTGCTCAGCATATATGGGAACTCCTTCAGGACTGTTGGAAAAGCATTCCAGGTGAAGCTGGTTGAGAGAATGCCAAGAGTGTGCAAAGCTGTCATCAAGGCAAAGGGTGGCTATTTGAAGAATCTAAAATATAACATCTATTTTGATTTGTTTAACACTTTTTTGGTTACTTCATGATTCCATATGTGTCATTTCATAGTTTTTATGTATTTTATTATTCTACAATATAGAAAATAGTAAAAATAAAGAAAAACACTTGAATGAGTAGGTGTTCTAAAACTTTTGACCGGTAGTGTATGTGGTTAGAAGAATGATGGTGCACTGAGGTAATATGCCATCACGTGTTGGTGCCTGGCTGACACTTTTCAGGACGTTCTTGAAGTTCTGAGTGTCATGCACAACCTTTTTGAAAAAGCGGTGTTTACCCTCAAACCTCATGGTCCAAAGGTGTACAAGAGGCCCATAACACTTGATGAGCTCAGGGTAATACTCAACATAATGGTGCTTTGGTCGAAGTCTAAACCCAGGAAAGACCTCTTGCAGAGTCTGTCTATGATCACTGATTCAGCTGTAAATGTTGGTGACAACACAAGCTTGATGACATCTTTAAAATCCATTAACACTGCGCACGCTCCATCTTCATCTTGCACATCACTACCAACCATTAAAGGAAGCAGTCTGAGCAATGTTGCATTTTCATAAACATTTCCACCGATAGTCCCTTTGGTTGCAAATGTCTTTGGGATTGGATGTGCTCGGTTTACTTTGTCTGCGTACTGATATGGGATGGAAGCCATTTTCTGGTTTAAATACTCAAGAGTGAAATACTTCAGACATGTCTCATCTCACTGATGCAAAGGGCCAACTCAACAGGCACAATACCTTTGAGCAGATCATGCAGTATATCAGGAGGGAAACCACACATGGTTCAAAACACAGTCACGCTTGACACTATACTGACTGACCATTCCCATCCACAACATCTTGCACGTTAAGGTCATGGCTGGCTCTTGTTCTCCTACTCAATTCGGCCTCACCAACATCATGGGTTTAAAATTGGTCTTGAGTGGCTGTACAGAATCAACACACAAAGTCAGCACTAAACGATTCCAAAAAGCCTGCTAAGTTGAGTTCAGGAAACATACTGCACTGGCATGACTAGAGGGTAGTTATTTTCAACAAAGGTTTTCCTGCGCTTAGAAGTTGACATCTTTGCACCTTTAGCAGTGACACTGGCAAAACACTGCTGTCCACGACTGCCTCGACTACTTGGTCAAGGGCAGCATCACTGATGGTGTGTTCATTTGTTCAGTAATACATATTTTATTGCTTCCTTGACCAGAGGTTGAGAGAGAGAAAATATCTGCCCCAAGTGCTCAACTATTTCCTGTGTTGCGTAGTCAGAAACATGGAGAACACTTTGCATTTTAAAAAATAGAGGCACACATTATTAATTTTTTAACTGAGCTCTCAACTCGGTTGTGTCAAACTGACAACTCAGGGGGGTCAAAAGTGTCTGCACTCTGAATGGGACACTCTTCATCAGGGTCAACTGAGCTAGTGACTGGGAGAATATCACTTTCCACACATACAACATCTTCACAGAAGTCAGAACTAACAGCAACTGCATCTTTCCTGCTCTTGTGGGCATTAAATGAGTATACATTAGTGCTATAATCATAATTCTTAAATGGGCATGTTACCGTTACCGCCTCATGGCTTTTTAAATGTCCCCTTAAGTGACGTAAGTGTGTTACCTCTGAGAAGGTTTGAATCTACATCTCTCGCTGTCACGTGATGGAATCGAGATACATACATTTTGAGTGCATTGATGGATTGAAATGCGCACAGGCAATCATGATAAAGACATGGTAGCGGGCTTATTCTTGGGTAAAAGCTGTGCTTCAAACGGTAGTGTTTAAGTAATTTAGCTCTGGTATCAAAGGAGGCAGCACACAACTGACATTTCTACTCCATCAAATAAAAAATCTGAAAGTCAAATTAAAATAGTGTTCATTCCTTAAGTCACTTAGATTTATCTAAATAGAATCCCGTTTAGGCTACTTCCTGTATCTTATGGCATCACGGGACAGATATTCCTGGATACTCAAAATGGTACAGCCTTCCATTGAGACATACTTTTAAGTACGGCATTAAGGACTGCTGCTCACCATTCTGAGCTTAAGGGAGGAAGAAACAATGTGGTCGATGCAACTAAATCAGAAAATAGAGCACTCGATGGACTTAATCAACAGGCCTTCGCTTGATGGCTAATGTTAGCTAGCCCACATGCTATGTATCAATGCTTTGCAATTATCTATTTAGCAAGCACAATGTAAGTTCCTTAGTTTAGTAAACTAGCTAGTGGGTTTACGAAGTCAAATCGCACAGATTTAACGGAATACTTTTTACACAGCAAGGAATTAAAACTTCAAATGTGCTGATAATTTATAACTCCCCAGATCAATGTGCTCAATAAACATATGACCACCACGCTGCAGCATGAGATGATGGTTATGTTAACAACATGGCACCAACTAGATGCTGCTGCACCCTTGGCATAACGTTAAAACCGTGCCGTCGCCGTACTGTACATGCTCTCAAAACATGCACTTGTCAAGCAGCGGTTTAAAATAACTTAGACTAACGTTAGCTAAACTGAATTGCATGATATCTCCATAGAACTCACTAATAACTAAAACTCAATCAACATACGAACGTGAACTGTCCAATGCTAATATTTGCTCAGCTGTTTGCTAATCTTCCTCTTCGGCTTGATGTTGCCAATACCGGAGCTAACAAACGGGACTATTTAGTTACAGCCACACACTAAAACCTGTTTGAACATACAGTAGTTGTCAAAACAGTTGGTTAATTAGCCCCTTACTCCAAAACTCTCCGCCAGACGTTTGTTCTTCTTACTACGAAAATCCTTAATGATATTTGAAATTCCCTCGCTTGAATCGAGCAGCCATCTTTGTCAATACATTTTGAGACGCACCACAGCGCAGAACGTTGTTGACGCACATGACGTCGGACGTCGTCGGGCTGTACAATTAAAATATATGAGTACAGTTACAGTATACAGATAAAAAAAAATATATATATATATATGCCATTTAGCAGACGCTTTTATCCAAAGCGACTTACAGTCGTGCGTGCATACATTTTTGTGTATGGGTGGTCCCGGGGATCGAACCCACTACCTTGGCGTTACAAGCGCCGTGCTCTACCAGCTGAGCTACAGAGGACCGAAATAGTTGAGTTCAGGAAAGGGAAATGCTACATGCACGTTAGCGTAACCCAATACTTTACTGCATGACACTGTTAGGGTTTACAGTGTAGTTACATTTGAAAATTCAGTTTTATTTGTTATTTCATTTTTAACCTTTTTTTTTTTTACACCAGAAGGAGATGTCTATGTGTCCAACACATTTCATTTCACCCATAGACGTGGCCTAGCTTCTGATTCTGGCAAGCAGCCAAGGTTAAACAGCGACACCCAATCACAATTCAGACTCTGCCTGCTCCTGAGTAGAATAATGTTTGCCTAGCAACACTCATTGGCTTGAAATGACTAGTTGCTGGGAAAATGAAACTTAACAGAATGTAAGGTGCAGCACATTGGGCGCTGCTTCAGCTCTCTCAGTGACAACATGGAACAACAATTAACAGATCTGTGCAACCACACTAAAAGTGAGTATTAAACTTAACTACCTTACTAATTAAATTTTGTACAACAATCTACTCTACAGTATTTGAATAACTGTAGCGCAATATAAAGTAGACATTTTATTGATACCAGGTCTGTTAACATTTATGCATAAATAATCATATGATTACATCACTTATCATCAAAATGTCAAAACAATATGTAGCTGTTAACAATCACATTATGCTGTACAGTATGTTTGTATTTATACACGTTTTAATATAGTAGAACAGTGAAAGGAGAAACATGGTTAGACTTTAGTGTAGTATACTGTATCTTGTTCAAGGGGGCCGATCTTGGGTCAACAACCATCTTATTGCAGGTTGTTGCTGTGAGGGACACACCTGCAGGTTTCTGTCAGTACTGACTAAGGTCGCGCTCCACCGCTTAGACGTTGCATGCATCAACCAATGGTTGACTGACAGATTGCTAAAACACATGATGTGGTTAGCTGATATGTAAAATACCTATCCAGGCGTTGTAAGATCTGGCGTCAGCAACGTCTGAGCAGAGTAACGCACCCTTTGTGTTCCGACACATTAAGCGCTGGTTTCAGTTATACTGATTCCACTTAATTATAGTTTGAACTTTTCCTGTCTGTCTACACAGTAGCTGTTAATGATGGGAAGTTCGGCTCTTTTCTGAGAGCCGGCTCTTTTGACTCGGCTCCCAAAGAAGAGCCGGCTCTTTCGACTCCCGAACGGCTCTTTATTTAGGATCTTTTGTAGCCTATATTTTACCTTAACTTTGAAAAAAAATCATGGTTTATGTGTTGAAAACCCTTTTGCTTTCAGTGTTTTTATGAGAGACCTTATAATGCCTAATTCTGTGCATTTATTCTGTGACAAAACCACTCTTACATTTGTTTATTTCAATTAAACTTTTTTATTGCACAAATTAACAATAAACTTCAAACAAATCCACAGAACAGAATCAAAACCAGAACCAAACTCCAGCAAACAGCATTAGTCCTCAGGGCAGGTTGGCATTCAGGAAGATCAGATGCCTCAGCTTGGATGGGCTGATAGGCCTGATACGATTTCGCCTCTCCGTGAGTATCTGCCCTGTTTTGGAGAAGATTCTCTCAGAAGGAACTGATGTGGCAACAATACATAGTCTCCCCTCCATCACCTTCACCAGGAGTGGAAAGACTGAGGCCTTGGCCTGCCACCAGCTCAGTGGGTCTTCTGCTCTCTGGATGAGGGGCTCCTCAAGGTAGCTCCTCACCTCCATTATAGCATCAGCTGTCGGATTTCTCCTTGAAGCATCTCCTGTAGCTCTGTCATCAAAAAGCCTCCAAACAGCAGAGGTTTGCTGCTCCTCCTCCACTTGGCCCTGTAATGGTGGAGCTGGCTGGCTGCTGGGGGTGCATTTTGCTGCTGCTGCTGCACTAATCCTCTGAAGAGCTTCATCAACAGCTCTACGATCACTGAAGGCAAGTTTTTTAAACCTTGGATCCAATAAGGTAGTTTTCTGAAAGGACAGTGTTGTACTCCATCCGCAGAAATTTGCGGTCCATGGCTGAACAAAGAGCTGCAACTAATTCCTTCACTTTCTGCACAGTTACTGTCCATTGGTTCTCGGCTGTCACCAGCTGCAGACCTTTGCAAAGCAGGAGCATTTTCGAGGCTGTGACATAGCTGAAGGAGAGAAAACAGCAACTTTTAGAATTTAGTTTTTTAAAAGTATGTGGCATATTATACGTGATGCATTATACTGTATGTGTTGTGTTTGCAATGTATAATAGTGACTGAATAGTAGTAGAGAAAACAATGCTTCATGGTTCTAGGTACCTGTCTGCACTTATCTCCACAGTCACCTCCTGGAATGGTTGCAGGACGGCGCAGACCTCTTTCACCAGCTCCCATTCCTCTTGGCTTAATGGCTCAATAGATGCGTTGATGAGGGCCAGGGTGGAGATGATGGCATCTTTTATTTCAAGCATTCGTTTCAACATATCAAATGTTGAGTTCCACCTGGTGGCACACTCTTGTTTGGGCCTCAGTTCAGGAATCCCCATTTGGCGCTGTGTGGACTTTAGCTTCTGTGCTGCTACTGTGCTTTTGTGGAAAAACTCCACAACAGCCTTCACCTTATCCACGGTTGTTTTGATCACCTTCAGAGCATCTCTAACCACCAGGTTTAGTGTATGCGCCAGACATGGGTGATGGGTCCACTTCAAAACTTTTATGGCTTTGGTGATGTTTGCAGCATTATCACTCACACAGCACACCACTTTGTCCTCTACTTGCCACTCTTTTGCCACTCTTAGTAGCTCCACTGCCAAGTTTTCTGCAGTGTGTCTGTCGGTGAACTCGAAGCAGTCCAGAAGGCAAGATGTCATCTTGTAATCTTCAATAAAGTGGCAAGTGACAGACATGAAAGAGCAGGTTGTTCTGGAGGTCCAGCAGTCAGTTGTCAGGCAAACTGATGGAGCTTTTGTCACCCTTTCTTGCCATAATGCACGTTCTGTGTCATATAGTTTTGGGATCATTGTTTGGGAAAGTGTTTTTCTACTGGGTAGAGTGTATGTGGGATTTAGGGCTTTGACAAAGTTTTTCATTCCTTTGTCCTCCACAATGGAAAAGGGTTGAAAATCAGAAGCTACCATTTTAGCCAACTCATCATCAATACTGTGCTGTTTGGCTGGGGTCATCAGTTTAGGTAAAAACTGACTTATTTTGCTTTGAGTTGCAGTAGGAGAGGTTATACTTGCACGCATGGGGATGGCAGTAGACGTTACAGCAGCTGTTGTTCTGGTATGAGACACACCAGGATCAGTAGATGGTGAGCTGGCTTGCCCTCTCTCCTCTAACTGCACTGTAGGATGGACAGTTCTTGTATGTCTATGCAGGTTTGTGGTGGAACCTGCTCTTATAGTGACCTTCGTTTTGCAGTGAAGGCACTCTGCTTTCTTGTTCCCAATATCTTTAAACTGCAGCCAGATGCTGCTTCGCTTTCTAGTGTCACTCATAGTTAAACGACACGACAATGCAAGACGCACACACGCTCCTCAGTCCGCTCTGTCTCTCTCTTCACTTGCAGTGGAGTCAAGTGGTGTGTCTGCCCCGCCCCCTCTCTGTTTACACATCCTTAATTCTCACGTGAATGCCGCATGCTGGTCGCCATGCTGGCCAATCATAACAGACCTCTGTGAAAGTGAAACCTAAGCAGCGAATGGGCAAAAAACTGGGAGCCGGCTCTCACTCGATGCGAGCCGGCTCTTCTGATTCACTACAAAGAGCCGGCTCTCAGAGCCGATGCTTGTGCGCATGACCCATCACTAGTAGCTGTGATGTTAATGGGAACACCACCTCTAACTGGTCTCTCTGGTCTTGACACGTAGCAGCCAGGCAACGGTAGAATATAGCCATGTTTAGATCGGCATTTGATATGCATATAAGTAAAATATGTCCACATGATATAGGCTACGTTGTTAGGGAATGTACTGTGTTTATCGACAGTTATACCACATATCATTACTCTTTTTATAGTTTATAGTTTTTATTGTTTAAAAGTCAAATAGCTGAGAAAAATATATAATTTAGTTTATCCTCATCTGTAAACGTTGGAACTTTGCCAAACACTCTAGGATGAGTCACCGAAGAAATGTGGACTTTGAATTTTGTAATGAGGTCATCATCTGTTTCCATGTTTTTTGATTGGCTGCAGTAGAAGTAACGGCTCAAGGAAGAGGAAGGATTCTGAAGATTCTGTTCCTGTTGATACTCTGTCTGCAAGACTTCACTGGTCAATGCCAAGGTACACACACACACACACACACTGTTTGTTTGTTTGTATCCCATTAGCTTTTGCAGAGGCAGCAGATATTCTTCCTGGGGTCAACAAAAAACACAAAACATGACAAATAACACAGCACTGATAGACAAGGACAGTCACAAAAACATAAAAAAAGTAAATATATAATAAATTATAACACAGACATACAGATATATATTATATAT